TCGTTGAGGCGCAGCGACACAGGCTCAACTGGTGCCTTTCCAGGCTGCATGATGTTGCGTGTCTTTGAGGCTCAATGTTGGTTTGAGAATCCATGCTTGCCTGCTTTTCTTCAACTCTGCATGTTTGTAACCGAAAATGATCGATCCTGCTTGAAATGACACGTTGGACATGGTATGAAAGTGGCGATTTTAGATAATCCACGACTATGCTGGTCATCCGAACAGGAGCGAGTGCCAGTGGATGGGGGCAATTCCAAGGTTCCCCAGTCAAGTCCCTGTGCCGCAATGCATTGTGATTGATTGGCCTGCAACATGTTGAATGGAACGCAACCACAGGAACATGGTACTAATATCACGCCATGTTGTGCTGTGTCGTGTTGTTTCGAGCGGTGTTATGTGGTGTTGTGTGGCGTGGGGCTTGCTTCCGCATTTGTTTTCCAATAGAAAGGCCAAGCTGCGTAGCCCTATTTTGTTTCCTCTGTCTTTGTTGACAGCGGCCATGGTGTGCCTGAGTTGTGCCTGGTTGATTCATTTGCTGCCACAGTTGATAAGATATTCAACAAAAGCAAGCTCAATGCACTGCAGCATTAGACCCCCTCGCGTGTTAAATCGCAGTTTGCCGATTGGCTACCCCTCCTCTTCTCCATCAGGAACATGAACAAAATTATACTGTGGATGGACAGAATCCTGCACCACTTGGAAACCACGAAAAACCACTGTTTTTTGGTATTTACAGGGGAATCATTCCTCCAGGGCCTCTTAGGTGGTGCAGGATTTTGTCCATCCACAGTAGGTCAAGCCTTGAGGACGCCTTGCAAGATCAGTCCTCCACGGAATCCTCCACAACTTTGCGCCACGTACCTCTCAACAAGCGAGACAGTGAAACTGTGGGGAATGATCGTCCGAAAGACCCACATGTGGCACCAAGCACCTGGGGTTTGCATGTTGCAAAAAAAAAAACGTGGAGCCGTATCATGTGTTCAGGTTGTTGACAGCCCGAAGCCTGGATCGCGCGTGATACCATCTCTTCTCTCTTTTTTTTGGGGGTATACGATGATTTCTGTCCAAAGTCTGAAATCAAGATCTGGAGCTGATTTTCCGAATCCCTGGTCATTTCCAGAGCTCTTCTATGTTTGAGCTTGCATCCCCATGGATCTGCTCGCTTTCTGAAATCAGTCGTCCGATTTGGCAGGCTGTTGCCAAACGGTCAATGGCTGGAGTTGGCTCCTCAGCTGTGCTGGCTGGAGTTTGATCCCAAGAGCCCTGATGCTTCGAATGAGGTGAATACGAAGGCAGATTTGTTTTAAGTTGTGTTGTTGTTTGGCAAAGCTGTATGGTGAGACATCAACTTAAAAAAAAAAAAAAAAAAAAAAAAAAAAAAAAAAAAAAAAAAAACATGACAACAATGTCGTGCCGAGGGGTTGCATACGATGAGCCTGGGAGCTAACCACTGACGTGAGTTGTTCGGAATGATGGGCACCTGTTGAAGTGGCGGTCAACAAACCGCGCTTTGGTAAATCTGGGGTCATTATTTTGACCGTTCTAGGGGTTATCAAAGTCAGAAAATGGGGTTGTTTCCCTTTAACCCATCACTTAGGGGGTGACTTTGATCATGATTAAATCATGAGGCCAGTGTCAGCATCAATGCTCGATGGATTTCCGAGCCATTTCTCGGTTTGGAACCTGCAAAACGCGGCGATCGTTTCAATGGAAGCCGCCAGTACATCCGTGAATGGCTTAAGTTGCTTTCATAGCCTCAGGAGCGGCAAGGGGACCTCTACGCTTGAGAGGCCTCGTGGCCGGAAGGCAGTCGCCCTGGGGCCAGGTGCTTGGTTTTTCCTTCCATTTGGTTAAGATTTTGTTTATTTTTGATTTCCCCCTGTTGATCACTCCTGGAATTATGTTCTTTTTCCACGGGACTTAAGCAAATGGAGGGTTTGTGGATTGAATGGCAGTGTTTCCACGCCAGAGAGAGGACTGGTTTTGCTTCGACTGCTTTCCTGGCTGGCAATTTTGGGGGGCGCCGCTGGCAGAGTGGAGTTAATAGTTAATGTGTTTTCAGGGCAGCTTTGAAGTTGATAGTTCATGTGTTAATGTGTTTTCAGTGGAGTTAATTGTTTTTAGTTGATTTGGTGGACGTTTGGGGGTTGCCCAATAGGAGCCAGACCTGGTTTGTGTCAAGCGTAGGCTTCACCGAATGCGACTCTTGCCAGCGGCTTTGTAGATACCGATGGCTGGGGCATGGCCCTTAGCCGAGCTCGAAGCCGGACCAAGTGGTGTTTAAATGCTTCAGAACAACGCTATTGCTGCGTGCTGGCAGGTTGACCCATAATGTACATGTATAATATATATATATATATACTTATACACACGCACTATGCATGCGTACAGATATGTATATGAATATGTATATTGATACACATCTCTACGTCGGCACATGAACACAAGCAAACACACGTCTATGTGTAGGTACAAATGCAAATCATCAAATATTGGGAGGCGGCTCACCCTGCCGTGGTCATTCTGGGGCAAACCTACGAGCAGCTGGTAAATTGAAAGACGTCCTTTGTGGAGACTTGCAGGCTGGGCTGCGCATGTTCACAATGAAGGTCTCGTGGAAGCCGGCAGCAAGTTGTTGAATAGATCTTATCCTTTGGACTGATCACCGCTTTGTCCATTCCCCCAACACAGGGAGTGAGATGCGCACACATGTGCGTGTGTGGTTTCTCGAAGATTGGCTTGGTCTCTGGCTTCGAGAATACAGCCGCCTTTGCCTTTGCCGAGACATGCCAACCACAGCCGGTGTTTTGCAAGTGGACGTCTGGATCCCAGAGAACTCCGCAGAATGATGTCACGGTTGGCATGGTCACTTTCTTTCAGCTTCGCAGGTTGTTGGCTTCGCCCATATGCTCGCGACTGATTTTCGCTACTCTGGGATGCGGCTTCGCCATTTCAACAAGTGCCAAGTAGTTCTTTCCATGTCCAAAGCAAGTTGTGGTTTCGACGTGTTCGACCGGCAAAGCTCCGAAGCTCCTGCTTCGCATCCCCTGGACCTTGGCATGCATGTAAGCCACCTGCATGATGCGGGTGCGAGTCGTGTGCCCTTTTCATGTTCTCAACCCTGCTTCAATTCGGCAGGTCGAGATCAGTGGAGCACAGCTCGCAAGCAGCTGTTTAGTTCCGGTTGCAGCTGCTTTGTGTGAAGGCTGAAGAGTAGTTTGCTGTCAAGTTCGCGTGATTGTTCTAGATGGGATCTCTCTTGCGCGCTGCTCCCGCTGGGTTTCTGCGACATGAGTGTATGATCTGGCACCACAGTTTTGTGTCAGACAGTTTGAAGCAATTATTTCCGGTGGGCTGTTTGTGGTGCATTCGTCATACCAGGAAGCCTTTTCGCGTGGGAAGTACTTCCCACCTGGCTCGGCAGCCCCAAGCAACTGAAGGACGCACGTCAGACGTGTGGAAAGCTCACCCTACTTCGGAGGATTGGGGCTGCAAGTGTCGCATTTTCATGGCAGCTCAGTCGATGTGGCAGGAGGTTGATGCCTGTGAGGATAGTTCTGCAACTTCCCGGGGACCTGAGCAGACTTGTCATGCCACAGAGTGACCGATGGTTGAGGTGGGCCATTCCACAGCTGCAAGTCTACGCAATTTGATGTAGGTGCTTCTGTGATTGAACGGTTTGTTTTCGTTCAGGGTCATGTTGTCAGCCTCCAAAAGAAAGGTTCACGTCAGGCTGCAGCATTTTCCCACTTGCCAAATCAGGAGATCCTGCATGACTTTCAAGTTATGATGTAACTCAGCTAGGCATGCGGGTGGGGACGTACTGCGGCCATTCGGGCACGAACTGGTTGTCCCTTGGTGTCTTGTCTTCGCAAGATGATGGCGCAAAGCCTCAGCCTTCCAATGGCAAAGTGCTTGCATGAAGGGGTGCCCCGATGTGTGTGTGTGTGTGTGTGCGCTTGTGAGTGTAGCTTTATTTGTATGAGGTAGACGTACATGTTGCTTACACGAACAACAAGCCCACATGCCGAACAGGTCTTTGTCTAGCATCATCCGGCAATTATGCTGATTAAGTTTCATGGAAAGAACAAGGACTAGGAGCAAATTGACCTCACCCACCGTTTGGGGTTTGTCTCTTTGGAATCCCCAAATTCAGGCTGTTGAGTTCCAGGCAAATCTGCATCTCACAATCTGACATTATGCTTCCATGTCATCCATGAGTATCGAGTACCACCTCATCCATGTCAACGTCACTGCACAGACCCACCTGCAGCGCTGTGCAAGTGAAAAGCAAAGCGCGCCCTCAATGAGCGGGTCGTTGGGCACTTGATGTCAAACGGATGACATACGCAAGCAGCAGGATCATGCAGCATCAGCCCAAGATGGCATTGCAGCTCTTCAACGTTTCGCAGAACAAGTGTCAGTGATTCTGGGCAGGCATTTGCCAAATTGCCGAACAGTGGTTAGATAAACCCTGGCGTGTTGTTTGCGTCTCCGGAGCAAGCAGGCAAACACCAACGACACGAAGGCATCATCTCAAAACCACAGCGAGACAAACAATCACTCAAACAAACAAGCAAACAAACAAACACACAAACAAACAAACAAGCAAACAAACAAGCAAGCAAGCAAGCAAGCAAGCAAACAAACAAACAAACAAACAAAACAACAAACAAGCAAACAAGCAAGCAAGCAAGCAAACAAACAAACAAACAAACAAGTACACAGAGAAGCAAAGACACGCACGCGCACACACGCACACAAACACACACACACACACAAACACGTGATTTATTAATCAAGCAGCCAAGAAGAACGGCAACAAACAACACGAATCAACAATGATGGAACAAGCAAGCACGATTACATCGAAACATCACGACTAAGAAAAGTAAGCTTGGACTCAAGACATTCAACTCGGGGAGCAACGCCCTTTTTCTGAGAGCTTGGTGTGAGTGCTGGGAAGCAGTTCCATTCGGGAGTCAATTTGCTTCGGCCAGGGTGATGGATTGGAGAAGCGTGGAGCACATCACTTTGGTGGACGGGCGACGGACTTGGACTAGGGAAGGCTATATGGGGGAACCCCTGATGAGTCACCCAAAGAACCGCAAAAAGATACAAAGCAAAGAGAGGCCCATGTTCGGTTTCAGACACATGAAGTTCGCTAGGGGTGCAACAGCTTTGGACTATATGCTGCATGTTGAGTCCTATCCACAAGAAAGCCCTGGGGCAGAACATACCGCTGCTGGTTCTTGCTTGTGAGTCACCATTTCAGGGAAGTGTGCTCGCTGAGCATTTGTTAGCTGCTCCAGCTACATTGCAGCTATCCACCCAAGTATGTGGGGGTTGATCAATATTCCTCCCCAAAAAATGACCATGGGCAACTTTTCCATTTAGTTGGAAACATCAACATTTTCGGTGGTTTCCCTCATGGTCATCCCATGTGTACCGGACCTTTTGATCACCCCCCATGTACTTTCCATGTTTGCTGCTTGTCAGGGCCACGAGGCTACAGGATGGTCAGGTCTCAGGGGCACACGCTGGAGAGAAAGCTGAGCGAGTTCGTGCGTGGCCACAAGGAAGCAAGCAGCTTGGCAAGTTGTTGCTCGATTCAAACGGATTGAATGAGAGCTTCTTGTTCAGGGCTCCTTAAAAGATACATGTTGCCCATTGTTCAGGTGTATAATGTAAGGATCCCTGTTGTTCTGGATGTCTAGGATGCCTTTCGGTTCTTTGCAACGCTTGCCCGCTGAGTCTCCTAAGGCTGAAGCAGCTGCGGTCCTCGCGGACACAGTTCAATTTGGCCAACTTGTACCTACAGTCCCAGAGGATGGACGAGGCGGAACTTGCCTTCACCCAGAGGGTCCCTTGGTACCTTCTAAGGAGGTACTTAGACCCCTTTTTGCCCCTCAAAAGCCATCCTCAGGTACTTGGACCCTCTGGGTTCAGGTGTGAGTGCTTTCAGGTCCCGCGTGCTCGGATTGGGCTTGAAAGAGGAAATTGCCGCCAGTGTTTTTTTTTTCCAGCGCACTTCGCAACCCAGCGGTACCCAGAAACAAAGCGAAGGCCGAGTTCCAGTGCCCTCCAGTGGCTTTTACGGGAGCCGGACTCGAGGCATTGGCGGCATACAGGCGGGGACGGCGAATGGGCGAGGTTCCACCTAGGACTTGACACGGACGTCCCAGACGTACATGGGTCCCTGGCTCAAGTCACGGGTGAGAACCTTGCTTTTCAGGTTTGCAGACAACAGGGGGGCACGAGCGGTTCTGGCTGAAGATGTGAGCTGGGCAAACAAAACTGTGCAATAGATTTCGTCCCACCTTTCAGACACAGAATCCTCATGCGCTCCTTCCAGTGCTTGAATCGTGCGCAAAGAGTTGGCTCCATTTCTCTACCGCTACTGGGTTGGATCTTTAGACTTTAACTTTTGATTTCCCTTCATATTCACTTTTAGCCAGCAAAAAGTTCAACCTGTTGCTGGGGGATCTACAGCACCCAAGATTGGCTGTGGGTCAAACATAGGTACCCCAAATGGAACCCTGGTAAGTGGAAACTTGGACCAAAACCTGCGTAACCCCTCCGATCGTTTAATTTTGAGCCGCACCCATCTGGAGCCAGTCGCACCCTGCATGTCCATGGTGCCCTTTTTCCTGCGCACCGCAGGCGGTCCATTGCGGCGGATCCGCTGGAGCCACGGAGTCACAGGTTGAGAATCATCCCCAGCCGTTTTAAAAATGGAATCCCTCCATTTGCCTAATAATATGTGTTATTTTCCCTTGTTGGTTTTAACAGGAATTCATCACTACTGGACATAATTTTATTTTTTGTTGGGGCCTTAACCAAATGGAAGAATTGGGGGACGCGGGTGACCCTGGAATTCCATGTTTGATTCCATAATTCCCCTTTTGTGGGAAGACGACATAAATGTAATTGGGGAGGTTCAAAGGGGCGAGACCTTGGATTGCGCAGCATGGGATCATTTCCGGTTCAATTGATGAGTCATGGTTTAGGTGAATTGGACTATGAGCTGTAGGTCGTCCGTTTGATTCCAACGAGTGATGGCATGGCGTGGTATTTTGCTGCAGTCGGATGAATGTCCACCGCCTGTGTGTTGACGTGCCACCTGAAAATCTGTCAGCTTTGCCAAGCATCAATTGTCGCAACCGACTGAAAGCATCCCTTTGGCCTAGTCTCGGGGTAAAGAGAACATATAGAGCGCTCATGTGGCAAGCGCCTATCCGGAACCCTGTACCAGCTGCTTGATGCATTATGATGGAGCCTTCGACGCCGGACTTAGTGGCTTAAATGCGTCACCGAAGTATGGGGATCCTATGTCGTTGTCAAGAGGTGTAACTACTTGAGGTGAATTGGACACGCGCTGCTCAGCCAGAATGAAGTTGGGGCAACACACGATATTGTGCGTAGGAGTGAAGAAGTCTCGCCCCTTGTGACAGGGCAAGAACCAGAGTGGTTGTGATTTGTTCAATCATTGCGGGTCGGCGCATTCCTGCCTCGTGATCTCAAGGTGCACGGCAGGGACACCAGAATAGCAGAGCCTCAGCCTAGAAGCTATGTTGATATGGCACGGACTAGCCACAGAGCAGTCAGATTCGCGATTTTTACCGGCGCTTTGTTGCTCTTGCCATCGACTGGCCAAGCAATCGTTCTGCGCCCAGCAGCCGTTCCGTTCCGACCCTCGGACGCATGGGAGATGCGGTTGCTTTGCTTTCAAGTACTATACAAAGGCCAGTTGTCACTCCATTTGTAGCACACTTGGATAGCTAGTTGAAACAGTTCCTGTTGAGGAATTTGAATTGTCCATAAGAGGGTAACGCTTTTCTGATTCGGGCTGATGTGCTTGCTTGATTCTCTTCATTGAGCTGAGCTGCTGACTCGGAACGGCATCTGAGGAGCAGTTCCTGTCGCAGCTTGAAAAGGAGTTGCGGAGGGCTCTCTTTTCGTAATGGCCGCCGCCCCGGGAGAGACTTCGAGGGATATGTGTGTGTGTGTGTGACGGTGCAAGAAGCGAAGCAATGCCTGGTTGCTTGACATTGTGTCTTCAGTACAAGGCCTTTAGACAGAACTCTGAGGCTCCTTAAGGAGTTGTTTGAAGTCTCACAACTACTGAACACGTTTGAATAGATTGAAGCAAAGGTGTTAGATGGCGCTTATGTTTGTATCACCGTGTAAGTGTGCAAGATGGGTTTTCAGAAGGTCGAAGCGCTTTGCATGCGCAGATGTACGTCATCAAGCATTTGTATAGAAATGAGGACGCCACTCCTGAAACTAACTCCGGTCTTGAGAGGCCCTTTCGGTCAGTTGAAGTCACTCCCTTTTCCCGGTTTTGCTCTAGACCCGCTTAATGTAGGAAGCGCCATGCCCCAGGTTACAAGCCAGAGGCCTGGGCCGAAACCGACACTTGGTGGGTTTCGGGAGGAGGAGCCGGCGATATCTGGGGGCTCAAAATGAGGGAGGGACCCCTCCAGATAGGCGGCTGTGGCTCAAAAAATCGGTACCAAAATGGAACCCTCTGGTAAGTGGAAACATGAACCAAAACCTGCGTAACCCCTCCCGGTTAATTTTGAGCCACACACAGGTGGTTTTTTTGATTCGAAGGAGCGGCGAGCATAGAAGGGGCGGGGACATCCAACGAGGCCGCACTAAAATGAGTTGCAGGCGGCACGGTCGCTTTGGAGCCCGCGATGTCGGCCTGCCACAAGCGCCTCCTGAGCTGTCACTTCAACTTCTTCAGGAACAGGGTGGCGGGATTAAGGGGGTTTATCCCCCACTTCCGTGACACAAGCGAATCTCTGCCTTAATATGGGGGGGGTAGTTTTTGGGAAGCCCTTTTTGTTCTATCACAGAAGTGGTTATTTCCTACAGCCCTGTTCAGGAACGGCCGGACAAATCCACTACCTTCATCTTGGCCAGTAGGTAAGCTGCAACCTGCCTCAAAAAAGTTGATTTAGGCGCCAACCTTGTGTACCCTGTGGATTTGCGCCAGCTGAGGTCTTCATGTGAAGATCTTTCGATATTGGCGGTGTCCGTCATCCCATCATACACAGTTCATCCCAAAGCCAGTGGCCCGCAGAACCCGGCGAACGGGTGTGTCAAATTGTTCGGGAGGCCCCCTTCCATGTTTTTTTTTTTTAAAATATTTTTTTAAGGGAAACCACCCGGAATTCCACTTTGGTCCCCTACACAAAAGACCCCCGCATGTTTCCTTGACCCGGGAGGATCTCTTGCGAGGTGTGGCGCAAATTTGTGGCCAGGTTCTCCCGGCCACGTAGCTGCCTAGGCGGACACATCGATCCGGAGAGCAAGGACTGGCTACTGTGGATGGACGAAATCCATTTCGCAACCTAAGAAACCCTGGAAGGATGATTCCCCTGTAAATACCAATAAACAATGGTTTCTCATGGATTCCAAGTGGTGCCGGATTTCGTCCACCCACAGTATGGTCAACTTCAATCCTGGGCTTCATGGGAATGTATCAGCCCAGCCTTGTCAGAACCTTCCCAGAGTTTCGGCCATACATGTTCCACCGCAAAAAAATGCTCATGGAAGAGGAGGTTCCATTGCGCATCAGCCACTATCAGTTTGCATGCTTGCAGAGCACCTGCAACATGCCGTCAACAGGCATTCCTTTTGAGACGTGGCTCTGACTGACATGTTGCTTCGAACAGTGCCTTTTGAATGTATGCTCAACACCGTACAGATATAATAGGAACTAATTGCCTTTGGCGAGAACAATGCATGTGTGTTTGTGGCTGTTTTCCTGCATGCCACTAATTACATGTGAAGTCTGCGACTCATGCACATACTCTGTTTGCAGCTTGTAGCGAAGATCAATCTACACTGAACACCAGAAGTGTTGCATGTTTACCTGAATAGCAATAGCCAATTCTGGTCGTTGCACCAAACAGAGGCACAACAAACTCTGCAAACTTGTCACATGAAGCATAGGACCTTGCCACGCTTTACAAATTACGTGCCTCCTCACAACCAGCAAGTGGGTGTTGTCGGATGTCGGATGGGCTCCAAAGCAAAGCACAGAACCCTGCCACCCATGTGAGAGTGGACGCCGTCAGGGCGCGCAATTCGAAGACAATTGCTAGCTGTGACAGTCAGTGGCTAAGCTGTGTGCTTGGACATGTATCCCAAATGCAGTATACTTCTATATATGTGTGTTGCTTGTGTTTCCCAAACAAGCCACCGGCCAACGTGAGAGATATCTCATGCCAGCTGTATTGCCTGGATTGACTTGGCTTCAGAAATCCAGATTTGCTGAGTTCAGCATGCGACAACCACCGCCAGCGGTCGGCCATGCTTGGGTTTGTTTATAACAAAAACAAGATTTGGGCTTGTTTTGTGGCAAGGACACCATGGTTTTTCTGTGGACCCCCAATCTTTGGCAGCCCGTTCCTTTTGCCGAGGTCTTCCTTAGCATCAGCCAGTTGCGGGGTCCAGTCATGGGCTCGGATCTGGGCTTCGCGCCCGCCTTCTTGGGTGGAAAGACAGAAAGGGGTGCCTCCTTCCTGATCTCTTGGCTGTCCCACTTGTGAGATTTGCCGTCACAACCATAGTCCGGGAAAACGCAGCGAGTAGCTGTAGATCAAGTCAACCAACGAAGGGCGCCCAAATTGTCCCAAAGTCCACTGGGTCTTTGACGCACAGCTGGGTTCATTTCTGAAGCATGCCCACAGCTGTTTGAGCTGGAATGGCGGCGACATTCTTCACTGGCCCGCCCCAAAGTCGGAGCTTTCGAGTCTCAATGTTAGGTATATTAGGATTCATTATTGTGTCAAGAGGGGCATGCCTGTTCAGCGGAAGCCGTAATCTGCTTTTGCTCTTTGGGACTTCTCGTTGCCATCGTATGCGGCGCTTTGGTTTCGCATCTTGAATCCTAGCTCCAAAAGGTGCAATTAACTTCTTGGAGCCGAAAGCGTTTTGGCGTTTTGGCCTCCTCAAGGCCAAGGTGGTTGTTGTTCGCCCATGCGGCGGCGTAGCCAGAGCGCATGGCTTTGGCTTCCGGATTCTGCTGACCTCACTTCCCGAGTTCCTGGGCTTCAGTGACTTGCAAGGATCATGTCTAGGTCCCCCAGCTCGGTGCCCTTTCTGACCCCTTTTTTGGTTGGGAGGGCAAGCACCTACTAAAATAGACGACAGAAAAAAGTTACACTACCCTTATTCCAACCTCTCAAATCTGGAGGAGCTAGATGTTAGTGGCCGACCAAAAGTTCCGACTTGTGGACCATCCACTCGGGAAGTGAGTTACTTTCAAGTGAGACCGTGAAAGAGGAAACCCCGGCTGATTGTCCATGCCGGGATGCAGTGAATTTCTTGAGGTGGTGTGTACGAGAGCCGCAGCGCACATTCGTTGCATACCCCGTTACATACCCTTTGTACCAAGACCTGCTGGCTCATGACAGCCGTTTCTTGCATACCTTCGTTGCACACCTTCTTGCACACAAAACCACCTGGCTATATAACAAGACCTGTTGGCTGGTGACAGCCTTTTGTTACACGCCTTTACACACCAAACAAAACCACCTGGCTGGTGGTATGCCTGTTGCACACCCGATGCATACCCAAACTCTCAGCGATTTCACGGGCTTTCGCTGGCGTGCGGCGCGCCCAGGCCAGCTCCTTCGTGCTGCGCCGCTTTGTGCCTTCCTGGATCCTGCATGCAGAGGCACGCCCTTTTTGGAACAGCTAGTTCTTCCATTTGCTTAAGAATACTGTTTTGTTTGTTTTGCCTTGTTGGTTTTAAAAGGAATTTATCACTACTGCAAATATTAAACAAAAAGCAATAAAAAACTAGGGGTCTTAACCAAATGGAAGAATTGGGGCGGAGTCTAACAGCAATTTGGCCGGATCCGCCCAAGCTCGTCGCGCCTCTTTGACGCCTCACTTGATGGTGTCTAAACCCAAGAGGTCACAGCCCGATGCAAGGCGGCTGAGTATGAGGTCCCGGCTAAGGTCAAAGGGACTAAAAAAAACAAAAAAAAAAAACGACGGCGACAAAGGTTCATGTCTACCAGGCACAGCCTGCGCAAACTCACCGCTGAGCGTATTTATGTTTTTCCTTGTGCTTCATGAAGCTGGATGGCGTCCCCAAGCCCATGTTAAGCGTGGCAGAAGCTAAGCTCACGAGGCTGCGAAAGGCGCTGCGCAACATGTCATTTTGAAAAAGCTCATCATTGCCCTGACTGCACAGCTTATACAGCATGTGTACTAAAAAACATAATTTGCACCAGCCTGACGACATCAACCATCATGAGTCGACACTCTCAGATAAGTTGTGGTTGACACCGCTTTGAGTTAGCTCACTAGAACTTCTCCGTCACCTTTGTGTGACACTGATGGAAGCTGTGTGATTGACGTAAGATGATGCCGGAACCTTCTTCCTTGCCTCGTTGCGTGCTCTTGGTCACAGGCTGATGAAAGCAGAAGTGTTGCTACGCAACCTGCGTTGAGCAAGGCTGGGCCCGCTATTTGCCGTTTTTTTTTGGGTCATCCACCTTGTGAGATGGTGGTTGGGAGGGTCCCGGGACTGCCGATCTTGGTGGCGCTCCCGCTCCCCTCAGGAGCCTGTCACCGGTTCAGAGACTGGTCTCATGGTTTGGACACGCACACTATATTGGATCATGGTTTAATATGAAGTTCAACATAACGCTTCAAAGCGATTTGGGTGTGGCTCAAAATTAAAGAGCTGGGCTTACGCAGGGTTTGGTCTTTGTTTCTATTCAAGGGGCCAGACAGTCGCTCTTTTGAGCCACAGCCATTTGACTGAATGCCTCAGTCGCAGGTGGGCGCCACAATTGCAGAGCGCCTGGCTTACGTCAGCACCGTTTGCGCGCTTTCGGTCCCTGTCCAGGCGGCCAGGAACCATCCAAACAGCACCTAAAATACCTTGGTCTTCCAAGAACCCGCAAAACCAGGGTCCTTCTTGATCTTGACCTTGGCTCCAAAAGGAAATTCGGCAGAAGGCCTGCTTTTCCAGGGTCCTAAAAGATCAAGCAATATGAAAACATTGGAAAGCTTTCTAGAAATGTCAGCAGAGGGCATGTTCTCTCGAATGACAGTGAACCCTGCCTACTGCACCGCTGGCTCGTATTTTCTACTTAGCGATTTGGGCTATTGCAGGTTCTGACCTGCCAAGTACAACTTAGGCCGTTTTGGAATGAACGTATGCCGGGCGTTGCATGCAGGAGCCCTGCTTATGGACAGCATTCAGTTGTATCTCAGTGGCGCTCGGCCTTGGCTTGCCATGCGCACTTTTCAGGGAAGCCATCTAGCAGGGATACAGGGGGAACCAGGGATACGGGAGGATTCCCCTGTTTCATGCACCTTGACTAAGTTTATGGGAAATGGCGCCAAGGGAATCCATATCCCCATATCCCCACTCCTCTGTATCCCTGCTTGTTCGTTTGTCTCTTGCTTTCTGTTAAGGCCATTTGGCTATGCCGAAGACTTGGAGCAATCGCTCACGCCGCCGAAAAAGGCGCCGGACTACTTGGTGGATCAGAGCATGGTCGAATTTGCTTTTTGGGTTGGCTGTCCTTCCTGGTCTAGGTGCGGCTGGTGCCCTGTTCCAGGATGTCAATATGTCTCCATATGTCTCCATATGTCTCCACACTCTCACTTTGCTTGACTTGCAATATTTAGAAAGTTCACATTGCCAAAGGAGCGATGGTACAGTTAGCCTTTCTATCTTGATGCCCTCCTCTCTCGACGGGTTCTCATCGCTCCGAGCTGACTATTCTGAGGACCTAAACGTGGCAAGTTGTTGTCGTTTTTCCTGGGTTCCATTTGGGGCGATCGATGCCAATATGAGATCGGCAGATAGCCAGCCATAATGCCGCATTGGGCCTGCCTGAGTCGGACACACTTAGCCTCGGCCAGGCGACAAACAGTCCTTGGCAGATGGCGTCAAGCTCAGGTGGCAGTTACTCAGCTCGTGTTTCCTCAACCTACAAAAAGTATCATATGTCATATGGCTATGGGTCAAAACCCAAATCGTACCCCCAGTGAACATCCCAATCCAACCACCAAAAAAGGTTCTAAAATGGGTGGCGAATTCGGCTACCCCAAAATGGGATCCCATGGGTTTTGACAGCCACAGCCATATGTTTTGTAAGCTTTGGGCTTGCACCACTGGAGGGCACCTGTACCGATGTATACTTCAGGCCAGGTATTCTGTTGCTCACGTGTGCCGGCGAGACGGTCTCGCCGGAACAGAAGAAGTATTGCCTCACCCTGGACAACTCTCCCGCGCACCCAAGACAACAAGCGACTGGGTGAGTGAAAGCTGAATCTGCTATTCCTCAGAAGCACTCACATTGATGTTTTCGATGAACGGCTATGCCCCCTGCCCATTGCCATTTGGCTTGGGCTTGGAATTATTCTCTTTTAGTTTCAATAGAGACGGATTCCCCCGTCGTTCTGTTTCACGGTGGGCCCGGGTGATTTCCGCTTCCCGTCATCTCAGGCGCAGTCGTCGTTGCAGGAGATGCTGGCAGCCAGCGAGGTGAGGACTGCTGGCGTTGGAGATCGGCTTCTTGGGGCTCTCCTTGGGAGCAAATTGAAGGAGCTTTGAGTCGACAGCCAGCTTCATTGGACATGGGTTGCTCACCCTGGTAGGATTCCTGAACCTGTACCAATGACCATAGGCCATATAAGGAGTTTCGACCTGGCCAGGGCGTTCACAGGTTCATGGCACAGCTGTACAGACGGTAGGGTTTTCCCCAGCCAGTTACGCCGACATGGCCGAGCTTGACTGGAGGCACAGACAAAAGGAGTTTTGACCAGGTCAGGCTGCAGCTGCCTTGCAGCGGGCAGACCTGTTCCAGACGCTTGAAGCAACGGGAAGCTCCACCGCGCCACGGTGGCGGTCACCATCACGCCGCGGGCCATGCCGTGGAGTGGGAGTCGTGTCACCCTTGATGGGCGCACCGTGGTGGCGAGCAGCGCGGCCCCAACGCTCATCAGGTTCGCCTCTTCGATTTGCTGCAGGTCAAGAAGCGCTCACAGGTTTGGCTGGAACAGGTGGCCGCCGGTAACACCACGCGCTCCGGCGTGGGCACATCTGGCATGGGAGCCGGCAGCAGGCTTTCACGTGGTATGCAAATGAAGACCCGTCAGCCAAAAGGTTAACGGGAACATCCGGCCCTCGTGCTAGCGGAGAGGTACCAGGCCAAACAAGCTGGATGACTTGCTGGGCAGCCATAAACGGCTCTCTGCTTGTCGCCTGGAAAGTCAGAGCACGCCACGCTTGGATGGCCACACATCACTGATTGCTGCTGCAAAATCAGGTTCTGGTTCTCTGCACAAAACTGCAGGATGATGCACCAACCGCGCGTTCCAAAGTGACACAGCGCGAGCCAAGATCCCGCAGTGTTGCAGGGAGTGTGCTTGTTCTGTAATCCGCCCTGCCCAGCACGGAGGTAGAGACGTGAGAAGCCTGAAAGGATCGTCACGGCATCTGGCACCTGCTTGACCACGCTAGGATGAGTGGCACTCCCTGCTGCACTGGGCTGCCATTCCAACTCAGGCTGCCTAGCAAATCCCTAGGAAACCTTTGCCGGTGGCCTGCTGGCAACCAGACATGCGTGCGTAAGTGGCAGCGTGGGGCATTTTGACCATGGCTCACATGAAGCCCGTGTTTGCGTCATTTTGCGTCAGATCACGGCTGCTGGTGTGTTTTGACTGATGGAAATCCCAGCTCCTTTCAAGGGCCTAGCTGACGAGCCGCTTGCTTTCGCTTCATGCCAGGCACAGCAGCTCATTGCAAATGTCTCTCAGACGCGAGGCGCAGCAAAGACAGGGTGACTTGAAGACATGGTGGAATTGAAGCATCGGTGCACATTGCTACAAAAAGGCCACGATGCATGATTGCACGTGTAACAAGATCAAGTCGCTGTCACGCTGTCATCATGATTCTATTTGGCACGCACACGCTGCACGACGTCAAGTCCACATGTTATGTTGTCATTGAAGGGATACTTCCTCATTGAAGGTGGGTGGGGGATAGACTTGCAGCGGTTGAAACAGGGGGTCAAGATCAGCACTGCGCAGATCTGGCGGCTGCGGGTGCAGTTCTCACGCTCGCTCTAGCATCCGAAGTGGGCATCCCAGAACTCGGCCATGGGCTTTTGGAAAGGGGAAAAAGGTCTGGCTGACATGTTCGAGGTTAGGAAACGCTGCATTTGGGAAGGGGCCATGAAGAAAGGAGGAATTGTGATGTGTAAGCTGGATGGGCTGCACTTCCCATGTGCTGTACACGATCTCTCAATTTGTTCACGACGTCTCGATGTGTTTGCGCCGCACTCTGCGACGACGACTCCTTTGCAATCATGGGTGTTTGAGGTTTTCATTTGGGTCGGACGAGCGAATTGGTAGTTTTTCCACTCACAGACATCAGAATAGCCAGTAAATGCCACAGTTAAATCTTGATTTGTATTTGGGGAAATACTTCATCCATGTTGAATATAAGATGAGCGTAGTCTCGCGCTTGATGTACACATCACTGGGCACTGGCTCGCGGAGTTCTCCGTGCAAGGCACCGCTTTTGAAGATGGCCACTGTCGCAGAGGACCAGCAAAATGGGTGTTGTTGTTTTTTGTTTTTTGAGTTAATACCCCTTTTGGGTGGGTTTGAAATTGAAACCAAAGGAACACCACCATTTCAAGGGAATTGCAAGGTGACTCGCTTGCATGCCTGATCTTCCGTATCAGTACAAGATTGTGTGTAGTACATTCGTTGTGTTGTGGAGTGATGCTTGGTTCGAGACCACCCTGCTCCGGACTATGCAGGTGTTCTGACTTCGGGTGTTTGCATCCGTTTTCAAGTACCTGGGAAAGTCCATCATCAAAAGCAACTATGGTAAACGTGGCGAGCTTCTGAAATGGAGCCCTTTTCGAAATGGATTGCTTGGATCTGCCGCATCTTTTTGATGCGGCTGCTCAATTCTCGCCAGGATGCGATCCGAATGCTGTCTGGCCTGCAGCTAGCTACTGTGCAGGCGCAGCCGGCTGCCCCGTGGAGCCGGGGAGTTCTGCTCTCATGGGTCACCCCCACCTTTTTACTGGAACAGCGCTTTTAGAAAACCCAACTAGGTCCCCCCAGTAGTGCCCTTGTACCAACTTGTTTAAGGGAGGGTTGCCCTAAAATAGGCTACAGGAAAAAGTTGGTACCCTTATTCTGACCTCTCTACTGGAGGACCTTGCCAACCTCGGAGGAGGTGCCCTTCTGTTTTAGTGAGGGGCCCAAATTCCGAGCATCGTATGTTCCGCTTGAGCCAAACCCCTGTGTCCTTCAAAGACCACCCCACTTTTCATTTTCTTTTCTGGGCCTGCGATTTGTTGCGTTGGAAGGGTCCTAAATGTTGTGTCCCAAACGTTTGGCAGGTTACCCAATGCCTTCTGGGTGAATTTCTCGGTCAGCCGTGAGCCCGACTCGGGACTTGCAGTGGCCAGGACGTTTTGGCTGCAGCATCGTCTTCCAGCTTGGCAGAGGTCGGCAGAATATCAGTACTTGGCGGCGAAATGTCAAGGCTTGGTGGAGAACTTGAGGCACATGGTCCTTCAGTACAATATGTCATACGGCTGGATGCTAAGGGAGTGGAACCGGGGACTCTTGGATTTAAGCTTCCTCCGTGGTCGCAGTAGAAAGTCATGCCATTCGATTGCAGGGCTTGCCAGCCTTCATAGCGAGCTCGCTTCTTTTGGCGGATGCCTCAGATGTGACTTATATGGTTCATCAGGCTGGAACCATCTCGCACCTCAATGAGCAGGTGGAACCAAAAACACGAACAGGCCTCAAGGGGTACACTAACGACAAAACTAGACATGGAACTCCAAAGCACCTTTGTGTAGTCTGGGCCTTGGCTGGCAAAACAACCACTGGAAAGCGTGACCTTCAGAGTCAGACACTGCGAAAGCAAACATGGGTAGGGGATTGTGACCCATGGCCACGGTGAGTGCAGGGAATTTCCGCCGGAATGTTTTGAGGCAGCAGCAAGCACTGCCAGCCAAGCAGCACTCGGCGAGGCAGGGATCCGATCGGATGGCATGCAGAGCTTTCACGCCTTTGAATCATGTGTTCACATACCTTTCGCGTTCGGTCGGAACCCTCCGGCGGGAGTTGGCGGGCCTTTTCAGAGGCTGCAACCTCTACCATGTCGTTACAGAACTCCTGGTAGCTCTTTGGCCGACTCGTACAAGCAAATTTGGGACCCAGCTTATTAACGGCTCCCTTGACATGGCTATGAATTTTCATCGGGGACCCTTTGGTGGACATCATGTGGGGATTCATGTCCACCACTTTTGATGGGGTTCCCCATATAATTTTCATAGCCACATGTTGAGGTTCTGCCAAGACTCCTGGGGGTTGGGGGGGAGGGAGGGGAGGGGAGGGAAGGGACGGGGAGGGAGCCCAAATAAGCCCTTATGAAGCTCTGAATAAGTTGCCTTAAACAAGGACATATTTAGGCTCCCTCCCCCTCCCCTGCCTCTCCAGCCCCCATGAAAGACCAGTAAAACGCCGTTTGATGGTATCATAAGCTTTGGGACCCGCTGTTGGATGATTTTTAAGGAACCCAAGGAACGAGCCACAATTTTTCAGGCCCTCGATTGTTCGAACCCCCATCCAGATTACAAAGGTTGCACACCACGTGTTGCCGTTTGAAGATGTAGCCGTCACGAATGGGGAAGCGTGGCAAGCTATGGATGTTGCATCGCTTTTCCGCTTCTTGCTTTGTTTGGATTCTCTGTGTGCCAAAAGACAACCTTGCAGCCTTTTTCTTCCAGTTTGCTCCAAAGTAGCCTACCACACTGGGGCCCCTTGTGCTCCTCATCATTCCGAGCGAACACTAGCGCCCTGATTATCTCAAAACTTTGTTCATGTCATTCAGTATATACACAGATCCTGTTGTCCAGTCTGACTGTGAGATATACGCTCTTGTGTCCCTCTTCAATCAGGCTCATGCTAACTCAATGAGCCCGTTTGCAGAGCGAAACCCGCTTCCCCGTTCCTCTCGAATGCTTGGCCGCGGTTCCCCGGGCAACACGTCGGGGCTGCGAGCGGAAAGCGCGAGGCTTCTCAACGCTCGGACTGGCTGCAGGCTTTGAATGCAACGGCCCAGGCCATGGGGCGGCACGAAGGTTTTGCACAGGGCTCCTGAAAAGAAATTCATTTTGCCACCTTTTCCACGGAAACCTTCCATTTAGAAATACATGTTGCCTTATTTCCTCCTTGAAACATGTGGCTTTTCCACGGAAACCTCCATTTACAAGTTGCAATGTTCAGGTGTATAATGCATCCGGATCCCTGTTGCACGAAGACCACGTGGCATGTGGCTATGGGTCAAAAGCCCGGTTAGCCCCCAGTGAACATCCCAATCCAACCACTAATATAGGTTCTAAAATGGGTGGTGAATTCACCTACCCCAAAATGGTACGGTTGGTTTTTGACCCACAGCCAGGTGTTGACGTGCTTGCATCGGGTTTTCGTAGCTGCAGTCGATAAGTATATGCGTGTGCGTGTGTGTGTGAGGTTGGTTAAGCATTACAGCTCTAGTTGATACTATTTGCGCGCAATGGATTTGCGAGTTTGGACGGATGTTGGCAGCACAGACGAAATGTTGGTTGAGGGAGTCATGGACTTTGTTTCTCTAAGTTTTGCTTTCAACAATATACTAGTGTGTTTGTTGTTGTTTGCCCATTGATTGCTGAAATCAGGCCACTTTCTTAGTGTAGCAGATCCAGTTGCTTGGGCGGTCTGTCTACCCACGCGCAACCCATCGTTCCTCAGTTGATTCATGCGAGAAAATTCCAAGCCTGAGTTCTTTGAAGCTGACCCAAACGGCATTGCTAGAATGGGCGGGCAAGGCTCCAGAAGCTAGCTGCAAAACCGGTAAAGGCAGACAATAGCAAGGACTGCAATCCAAACATGAGTCCCTCATTTGTGACCGCTGTTGTTTGGAACACTGGTATAATATATAAGTTTGTGGGCTTGAGTTTGGACCATTGACGCATACAACTCTATATTATATATGTGTTTCGAACCAGGAAATGAACAAGCACCACAAGCAAAGTGGGTCACAATGCTGCCTAATTCACCAACAGCTGATGAACACACATGCTCACAACAAGGACCTAGAGCACCTCGTAGAATCCAAAGCTGATGATTCTGTCCGAGCATTTCTGAGCCTTGAGAACTCATTCCGCAAAGTCGCGGTTAGTGGCATGTTTACTCTCCCGCCAATTAGCATAGAACCTGACAGGGCGTCCCAGAAGGAGGATGGTCTCCAGGACCCCTGAAACGTCAGGTTCATTTGTGGGGAGGGTACAGTATTTGTTGATCTTTGCCACTCGTGCCGAGTGTGCCCGGCCAGGAGATTTGGGAAAGTGGCACAGGCAGCTTGAGCAGCCAGGCCGCGACGCTTTTGAAGGAGGCGCGGCGCATGCCAGCGGCCCAAGTGAAGCTTTCCAGATTTGGCCGTCCATTCGCAGCGTGCATTTTGACGCTGGCCGGGGCAAGGACCGACTCTATGGGTTGGAAGACGACCCAGTTTCACCGGTGTAGGAGGATATGGCAGCCCGGACACCTTGTCAACCAATAGCGGAAGAGCTTCGGTTGAAATGTTTCACACTCAATTCCGGATCTGATTTCCAGGGTGGTTTCAAGGCAGGACTAGTTCAGCACGGAGAAACGCCTGACCGCATGATGGTCGATCCTGTAAGATGGTCGATCCTGTAAGCTGTTTCATTAAGCCGTACAGTAACAAGGTCTGTGGCCGCAACAAGCATTGCCTCACTAGGGATGAGTTAAGGCCTGAGAAAGCAGTAGCATATTCGGATGAGCTCCCAAGTGAATGTTGTTGATCAATGGCTATCAAATACTATATGTAAGTTTCTAGTTTATCAGGGCTTGAAGCCGACGGCTTTGTGGGTCCCGATTGCCCACAGAGGATCCCTCCTCTTTTCTCAGAGATGAAACGGACAGCTGACGCGCAATGCACCGCTCGTGCAATCATGCCAGGTCGCAAAAGTCTTTGCTGCATTTGATGAGCAAATCAGTACTGAGGCTGGTTGCGTTGGCACAGGGTGGAGCAAAGTATGAGTTAGAACCACGAATATTTATGTTAGGATTGTTGATTCGGTGTGCGTTTTTTTTTGTTTGTTGTTGAGAAGCACCAGCCGTCGGCACGACTCCGCAAACGAGCGCTTCTCTCCCGCTGCTTGAGGCGGTAGACGTGCCCTCGGCCGAATCTAGTCTCGAGCTGAGGGTCGCGGCCACTCCTGAAGGTTTGCACAGACAGCTCCACTGTTGACAAGCCCAAGATAGACTTACCTCCAATTAGTTGAAATAATATTTGTTTTTGTTCTTAAAGGTCTATCTCGGGGTCAAATAAGTGGAACCTCCTTTTTGGGGCATATTCGCTGGATGCTCCAGGATTTTTTGTTGGTTGTTGTCCTCTGGACATCAGGATGAGTACAGTGCACAAAGGAGATACCTCCATTTGCACCGAAGGTCATGGCATCGCGTTGCGCTGTGGAAGCGCAAGGACTGGTCCATGGGCGCGATGGCCTTTTTGATAGTTTAGATGGATCAGTGGTCCTCATGTTAGTGAATAAGTCTATAGACGTAGACTAGGTCTTCCAGTAGTGCCCTTTTACCCTTTTTGGGGGGAGGGTTCCCCTACTAAAATAGACTACAGAAACAAGAGTACCCGTATTCTAACTTCTCCACTGGAGGACCGACTTATGTTAATGAATCAGTCTAGAGACGTAGATGTAATATATATATTTATATATTTGCATTGCATGCGCGTTTGTATATCATATCGGGCAGTGTGAGCATCACCTTTTGGGCCCTTGCTGATTGCTCTTGGTGAGGTCATGTTTTAAGGGGACATCTCAGGAAGTGTCCGAACGGCTCGCTTTTTACTTGACTTCAAGCTCAGTGGTGTGCTAAAACTTGATGCGGCCAAAAGCAATGGGTCGAAATGACTACATGTTGTCCGTTGTTTGGCAAAGGTGTGGCTGGATCCCTGACGCATGGAATTTCAAGTTGCTCTGAACCTATGCGCCTCATCCGAGCGTTGCCCGAAGGCGCCAGGGGAAGGATTGGATTCTCCCGATTGAGGCGCGGCTGCTGGCCCTTTGCTTCATGCCAGACAAAGAAAAACGGTCTCTTCCAAAGATGACCAGCCCACTAAAGGCGAGGGGAAGTCAGAAGTTGTTCACGTTGCCACTGAGCAACTTGTGGAAAGATCCCGCTTGACCCTCGAGTAGATCCAGGGCTGCAGAGCAAAAACCATGAAAAAACAAGGGCACTGGTGGGTGAAACTTCAGTTGAATGAGAAGAATGTACATCCCGAGCATGACAAGTTTACTGGCACAACAAGGAACAGGCTTAGCATGGCCAAGAAGTCCCACGGAATGTATTCTTACCTACTTGCAATGTTTGAGACAAAGCTGCACAGGAGACGGTTCTTTTCAGCTCTTGAGGAGGCCCCGTTTGACCTGTTTCGATCATTCTGTCAGTGTACTGAAGTTGTAACTGGTCCCTCTAGGCTGAAACGACCGCTACGGGGGCGACGCACTCGGCGTGAAGCCTGGGACTGCTTCGACAGGTCCAACTCTACCGCCGAAACGAAGGGCGTCATGTCCAGGCCTCAGACTCGGGAGCTCGGGAGAGGCTGGAGATCCATTGTCCAATGCCTTGGCTTGGAGACGTATGGCTGTGGGTCAAAATCAACCACCAGGAATTGGACCGCATATTTTAGTCCACGTGTCCATTTACCAGGGTTCAAGTTTGGGTACCTATTTTTGACCCACACCCATATGGCTGTGGGTCAAAACCCACGGTCCCTTTTGGGGGTTGCGCTTTGGTCGCTGCTATGATCCTGGCCATGGGCCAATGAACCGCGAGTTGGGGGGGGGGATCGGCGTCCTGCCTCCGACCCTGCCAGGGCGTTTGCCAGTGCAGCCGCAGGTGTCGAGTCTCTCTGAACACAACGCTCTGTTTTACTCGCTTTTGTGCTGATCCCATTGGAGAGTTGCGTTCAGCCGTTCAGCGCAATGTGTGATGATGTCACGGCGAACCATGCGTGGCCCGAATAATATGAAAAATATGATATATATATATATACATACACATGTATATGCATAGTATATGTTTAGATCCCATACAAAATCACAGTGCAAGCTGCTTGGATAACCAGCTTATCTCAATGCGGGCTATGTCAGCTGGCATGTTTGCCGAAGCCCAATTTGTATTGGTGAGATTTCGCATACTCAAACAACTACTTGAATAGATTTAAGGTGCTAATAAAAAAAAATCCAGGTGGTTTGCCCTGTTTCAGTTTGCTCAAAGAGCATCACCAAGGCAATGTTACTCGGCATGTGCCAGCGCCTGAGAAACTCTGAGCGAGAAAGCTTTATTCTGCCCGGGGGGGCATGGCTGTGAGTTGATTGCGGCTCGTTCAGTTTGGACCGGTGATGTCTCCCAGGGGACAAAACATGCAATACTGTGGATGGACGAAATCCTCTTGGGCACGACCTGGAAACCATGGTTGAAACCATTGTTTGTTGGCATTTACAGGAGGAATCCTCAGAAACCAATGGGTTTCTTAGGTGTTGCCGAGGATTTCGCTGCCATCCACAGTATCAATGTCACCTTTTGGGTCAGTGCCCTGGAAACCATGGTTGAAACCATTGTTTGTTGGCATTTACAGGAGGAATCCTCAGAAACCAATGGGTTTCTTAGGTGTTGCCGAGGATTTCGCTGCCATCCACAGTATCAATGTCACCTTTTGGGTCAGTGCCTAAGAGGATTTTGTCCACCTTTGGGGTCAGGTCCCCCCAGTTCGGCCGGGCGCAGCCAGGCCGACAGCTTCTTTTCCGTTCGCTGCACGGCGTGACCGAAAGTGACTTTAACGCAGATGCGGAGAAATTATATGAGGACGGACGGCGCACCTTCTGCGTCAGGTCTTAGAAAAATCGTCGATTTTGCCGAGAGGTCTTAGAACTAGAGGACGAGTGGCCCGGAAGCATGGAGGCAAGTTAGTTGTTAGCGATCAAGTAGTCTAGTCGCGACAAGCTGCACACAGACAGATTCCGCTTTTTGTCAGTAGCTCGAATATGGTACTAAAAGTTGAGGAATTTCATGCACTTCTCAGTGCAGGTTCTCCCTGCTCATCGCGATCTTGCCCACCATCATGTCGCGCGTGTAGATCGAGTGGCTCGGCATGTGGATCTCGATGATGCATACCATGCTTCGGGCGGCTCCAACATGAACAAACAGGCAGCAAGCAAACTACCGCGATGTTTTTTTTTGCCGCGCTAGCTTGAGCCAACCACCAGGCGCGTGGCACGGAAGGCGAGGCGGGGGAGAACCAACACCTGAGGCACCGTGGAGAAACCACCACCACCTGGGCGAAGCGAAACTGGAGCGAAGCTCCTGGACATGCAGGCAACTTACAAATGCAAATGCAGAAGTGTGGCACGGAGGCTGTTCAATCTGCTGATGTTGTCCGGCTTCACTCGGCTTCCCTTGGCTTCACTCGAGTGCAACAGCGTGCAGGCAGCACAACTGCTCAAGCATGTTATGTAGGTTGTTCAATCTGCTGATGTTGTCTGGCTTCACTCGGCTTCCCTCGGCTTCACTCGACAGGCAAACGTGGAGTCCACACTAAGCGCTCAAGCATGTCACGCAGGCTGCTCAATGTGCTGATGTTTTCAAAGTGGCAGCATCGAGGAAGATCGCGAAGCGCATGTTAAAAGATACGGCGGCTGCATGCTGCGCGCGAAGC